GAACATATACCGACTGAAGCAATGTATGAGTATGCGAGTGGGAGCAACAGATTGTTGAGAATTTTATTGTAGACAAAGAAAACCATGAATCTACAGACAACGATGACACAAATTGCAATGACAGTCAAATTATTGAACCCCATGACGACAGTGACTTGATGCATGGCGATGTGCTAGACATGTTGACAAGATTACAGAACTTCACAATAAACAAAGACTCCAGTTACTTGACAGATATCCAAAATTTCATAATTCCAACAAAAAACAAAATCGTTGAAAAATGATGTTCTTTAAAGCAGTCAAAACTTGATGATTTTTTTACATCGTAATTTGATTCATTGACTTAACAGCAAAATCGACTGTCTGCATAAATTATGATAATTACAGGTAGCTCACGTGAACTTACGTTGTAATTTCATTCAAAATGGACGCCTTCAGTTACGATACACGATACTTACCCGGTCTGTTCCAACAGTTATTTTAATGTTTATTGATTTCATGTACATACCATAATATTCTTGTCTTGTTTGGTAAATTATTTTATTGAAACAATACAATAAATGTAAATACATTTAAATAAATAAAAGTGTTTTTTTTCACTATGGGGTTTTTTTCCTAAGGGGTTTTTTTCCTAGGGTTTTTTTTCCTAGGGTTTTTTTTTCCTACACTCATAATCACCGGAGGCAAACTCCGGTGTCTTTCATTTGTCCCATGTTTACAGCACATGTAATTGTTGTTTTAATCGAAGTTACGCCCACCCTGAATAAACCGACTCCCTCTGAAAACCGACCATAGATCCCGGTCCCAGTCATGGTCGGTTTTGACAGGTTTTACTGTATAATTGCGTTTTGCACTGTGAAAATGTTTGGGCTCAGTCACAGGATTCTATTTTCATTGTATGCTATAACGCTTCTGTATCAAATGTTAACAGAGAAGAGTGTTTGAACTTGACGTTAATGATTTGTAACACGTAAATGACGTAGTTTACTCCATATTTGGAAAATCTGAATGCTTGAATGGGTGCTGATAAGTTTTGGAACGTGTGCTGATACAGCTTTTTACGGAATGGCAAATCCAAATATTTTCGGTGCTATAATAATGTATGTTAAATAATAATAATAATAATTTTTATTATTATATCACAGCATCTGGTGATCATGAAGCGCATGTCTGGAGATCATTCGTAAATATTCCTCAGTCTGTTCCTGAAGACCATGTAAGTACGGATGCTGGTAATTGATGGTTGTCGCAAATATTCTAGGAACTTTGTTGTCCTGTTACTTGCACATAGTATCTCAAGATCTAATGGGTTTTGTTCAAATGGTATATATTATTTATGTGTTGTTTAGTGGGCGTCGTCAATGTGTGGTTACCCCAGATCATATTTTATGTGTTAAATAATCTCTGTCGCTACACTACTCTTCGGTGTGTTTCCAATGATGCCATTCTCTTACATTCATAAAAAAGAACATTTAATGTGAAATGCCATATTCAAAATACTGTCGACAAATTTTTTCAGGTGTGTCTGCTGAGGGCTTTTGATTGGGCAGTACAAAGTTACTACAAATTTTAATCTATTGTTGGTGGGAGGTCAATAGTATGTGAAACATGCTAGTGTATAGCATAACAACAAGTAACACATGAGTGAATTGTTGTAGATTTTACTTACAAATGTCATTGTTGATTTCTACCATAGCGACCGTCGTCAGGAGATGATGACTTGGACACTTCTGATAAAGAAGATGTTGATGGAACAGGTTAGTGTTTTATTTGACAACTTAGTTTTTGAAACAAGATTTTTAAAATTATTATTATTAATTATTGGTTGCCATCCTCGACTTTGTCGCCTTACACAAATAGACCTGAATATAATTGTTTGTCAGTCAAAGTCCAGTTGAAACCTTGATTTTATTTTATAAATGATAAATATAGCATGGTTGTGGGGGAGGTTAAAGGTTATAGGTCAGAGTTCAGATTGTAATTTTCAGTATTCGTGCATTTTTATTTAGTTTTTAATAACATGCATACAAAAACTTAATTTAGAAGACTAAAAGAGAAGTTCTGAAGTGGCTTCTGTTGATATTCTCCGCCCTCTAGTGGTCATACAGTGCTGACTTACTAATTATGAGCAATCTTGTTTGTACTGGTCTTTCCTTGAAATTGATGACAGAAGAGAACAGCGCCCTCTATTGATATTCTCTGCCCTCTAGTGGTAATATAGTGCTGACGGACTGATTATGAGAAATTTTGTATGTACTGGTCTTTCATTGAAATTAGTGATGGAAGAGGACAACACCTTCTGTTGATATTCTATGCCCTCTAGTGGTCATACAGTGCTGACTTACTGATTATGAGCAATCTTGTTTGTACTGGTCTTTCCTTGAAATTGATGACAGAAGAGAACAGTGCCCTCTATTGATATTATGTGCCCTCTAGTGGTAATATAGTGCTGACGGACTGATTATGAGAAATTTTGTATGTACTGGTCTTTCATTGAAATTAGTGATGGAAGAGTGATAGAGGGACTGTGGAAGAGGACAACACCTTCTGTTGATATTCTATGCCCTCTAGTGGTAATAAAGTTCTGACTTACTGATTATGAGGAATCTAGTTTGTACTGGTCTTTTATTGAAATTGATGATGAAAGAGGACAGTGCCCTCTATTGATATTCTATGCCCTCTAGTGGTAATACAGTACTGACTTACTGATTAGGAGCAATCTTATTGGTCTTTCATTGAAATTGATGACAGAAGAGGACAGCGCCCTCTATTGATATTCTATGCCCTCTAGTGGTAATAAAGTTCTGACTTACTGATTATGAGGAATCTAGTTTGTACTGGTCTTTTATTGAAATTGATGATGAAAGAGGACAGTGCCCTCTATTGATATTCTATGCCCTCTAGTGGTAATACAGTGCTGACTTACTGATTAGGAGCAATCTTATTGGTCTTTCATTGATGACAGAAGAGGACAGCGCCCTCTATTGATATTCTATGCCCTCTAGTGGTAATACAGTGCTGACTTACTAATTATGAGGAATCTTGTTTGTATTGGTCTTTCATTGAAATTGATGACAGAAGAGGACAGTGCCCTCTAGTGATGGCAATATAATGCTGACTGACTGATTATGAGAAATTTTGTTTGTACTGTTTTTTATTTTATTGAAATTGATGATAAAGGAATACAATCTCTGATCAAACACAAACCCATAAAACATTGTCAGATATTTTGTCCAGATATTCACCCAGGGGTATTTACCAAAGGTCTGTACATTAATGTAAATTTAAATTCCCATATCCTACCCTGTTAAAAATTTGAATTTATAGATTTAGACCAATCCTTGCCTTTTATGGAGACCAATGAATATATAGAATTATAGAGTAATCTTAATCAGTATATTGATATGTTGTAAACAGAAACTAAACATCTCACGTAGACCCCTTTAACTGTTCTAATGTTTGGCCTATTTGTTAAAGGGCGAGTGTTAAATTTTATACTTACTGACTTAGTGGTAAGTTGTTAATTTTGATTGGATTGCTGTTACTGATAGGAGAAATTAGATTGAGCACTTAGTATTTTCTATTTTGAATTAACTAAGTAGACTATTGTGTACTTATTGCTGCCTTAGGCCAGCTAATATTCATTCTGTAAATTGTTAGCCAGTATAAATTTTTGTTGGTGTTAATTCATTTTTTTGTAAAAAAAACTATTTCATGTGTGTTTGGTCATACACCTCCCTTGCACTGGTAAATATCGATGAAGCTGTCCTCGCCATAACCCGAACCCGTGATATAACGTTGTCTGCTTCGAGTGCTTCTATTGTGACTTTAGGGAGACTCATTGTCACTGGTTACAAGGGTTATTGGAAGGTCACTGAGAGGGGACCTACATGTATTTTTCGAATTTGGTGTTACACATCTCCTACTGGAACCTCTATGGATAGGTAAATTGAATGGGAGAAAGTGTCAGCAGATAATGGTGTGCTCTTATAGAAAACACTGATGTATGCTTTTATGGTGAAAGTCATAATCTAAGGATCTGGTGTACAATAAAAACAAAATTTTGTTAATGTGAACTTCTAACAAATATGGCGTACCACTAGTAAATCATTCATGATAATCTTTACAGTGTTCTCCAATAAACAATGGAAGTTGAAACGCTTATAATTTCATATTAAAAACTTTCTCCCAGAAAAGGTAAAAATGGTAAATATATGAAATTACAAAAAAGCAACTTTACAATTACATTTGTAAAAACTTCCTATGTCAGAAGAATATATTAATGTTCAAATTAGCCACTATTCATGTTCAAATTAGCCACTATTTATACACAAGTTATCTACTTTTTATACACAAAATAGCTAATGCATGTATGCAAATTCAAATAATTTGGATGTGTGCAAAATAACCACTATTGATATGCAAATTAGTCACCATGCTTTAATATTTTCGAAAATTTATTAAATAATGTAATTTTGGATTTTTTTTCTATAATTTATTTATATTACTCAAAACAATTGTATAGAAGTAGCTGAGCCTCTTCAGATATACTGTATTGTGTTGTCATGGTAACCTTTATAAAGGCAGCCATATTTTGTTTGTCAGCCAATTTCGCAGCAGTCATATTTATTTTTCAATTTCACACACTGTTAACAATGTCAATTCCTTCTGTAGTTAGTCATATTGCTTTCCCAGAATGCATCTCAAACAGTGGAGGAAATAGATCACTTTACAGTTGCTAGTTTCAGATATAGATAATATTTGTGTTCTTTATTTTAATTTTTCAGGAGCAGAGAATGATAATATGACATATATAAGGACACCACAGTGCGTACTAGAAGGCCATAGCGGTGTCATAATATCTGCTGATTGGATGCCAGATGGACGGCAGATTGTGACTGCATCATGGGATAGGACAGCCAATCTGTATGATGTAGAAACATGTGAACTTATACAGTCATTAACAGGTATGTAAATGAATGTCATGGCAACCAAGCTGCTTATACACAGTACTCATGCTCTGTTTTATTATTTAGTCACTTTGATCTTTAACCTCTAGTGGTACACAGTGCTCTGTTGTGCCCTCTAGTGGTACACAGTGCTCTGTGGTGCCCTCTAGTGGTACATAGTGCTCTGTAGTGCCCTCTAGTGGTACACGTACAGTGCTCTGTAGTGCCCTCTAGTGGTACACTATGCTCTGTAGTGCCCTCTAGTGGTACACAGTGCTCTCTAGTGCCCTCTAGTGGTACACAGTGCTCTGTAGTGCCCTCTAGTGGTACGTAGTGCTCTGTTGTGCCCTCTAGTGGTACACAGTGCTCTGTTGTACCCTCTAGTGGTACACAGTGCTCTGTAGTGCCCTCTCGTACCCTCTAGTGGTACATAGTGCTCTTTAGTGCCCTCTAGTGGTACACAGTGCTCTGTAGTGTCCTCTACTACCCTCTATTGGTACGCAGTGCTCTGTAGTGCCCTCTAGTGGTACACAGTGCTCTGTAGTGCTCTCTAGTGGTACACAGTGCTCTCTAGTGCCTCTAGTGGTACACAGTGCTCTGTAGTGCCTCTAGTGGTACACAGTGCTCTGTAGTGCCCCCTAGTGGTACGTAGTGCCCTCTAGTGCCCTATAGTGGTACACAGTGCTCTGTAGTGCTCTCTAGTGGTACACAGTGCTCTCTAGTGCCCTCTAGTGGTACACAGTGCTCTGTAGTGCCCTCTAGTGGTACACAGTGCTCTGTAGTGCTCTCTAGTGGTACACAGTGCTCTCTAGTGCCCTCTAGTGGTACACAGTGCTCTGTAGTGCCCTCTAGTGGTACACAGTGCTCTGTAGTGCCCCCTAGTGGTACGTAGTGCTCTCTAGTGCCCTCTAGTGGTACACAGTGCTCTGTAGTGCCCTCTAGTGGTACGTAGTGCTCTTTAGTGCCCTCTAGTGGTACACAGTGCCCTCTAGTGGTATGCAGTGCTCTGCCATGTCCTCTAGTGGTAGCAAAATGTTAACATACACAAACACTTCTAATAAAGCAAATTTATTTTTGTTATTCACATTGATTTATTTTCTTGTTTGATTTCAGGGCATGATCAAGAATTAACACATTGCTGTACACATCCTACACAGAAACTAGTGGTGACGTCATCAACAGATACAACATTTAGACTCTGGGACTTCCGAGATCCAAACATTCATTCAGTAAATGTATTCCAAGGTCACAGTGAGTAAGTATAACATAGATCAGATTCTTATTTTGAACATCTTAAATTTTCCTGCCAACATTTTGATGTTACATTTTGCACATTTTAACGTATTTTTCTGTGATTTTTTGGTTAACTTTGACACTTTGACATTTTTTAAAAAAACTTTTTGTATCTGGAAATCGTTCTGCACACCATGGAGAAATTCTTTAGTTTTTGGGATATTCATTCTGAGTAATTTGTTTGTTTGTTTGTAGAGCGGTTACATCAGCCTGTTTTGCATCAGGCGATAATGTTGTGAGTGGCTCTGATGATCGAACTGTTAAAGTGTGGGATTTGAAGAATATGAGAACCCCAATCACAACTATCCGAGTTGATTCCGCTGTCAATAGGTGAGCAATTTATAACGTGATATCACTTGTTTGTAAAGTTAATTGATTGTTGCTCATGACATTGTTATTGTAATACTAGCACTCTTTTCGCTGAAGGAATGATACACTAAAAATAAGATCAAGTGAATATACCTTTTTTTTCTTACATTTACATTTAACTCATCAATAATCTGTGAAAATAAACTATGAAAACACCGAAAAAAGTCTTTTCAGTGAAAATTAATTTTAGCTAAAAAAAGTCATTTACAGTACAGCGATATGGGGTGAAAAGTTGTGCTTCTAATAGTCTAAATACAGTAGTATGCATGCTTGGAAACTATATATTTATCTTTTCTGATTTACGGGACATCTGTTGCATTCTAAAGCTCATTACACTTTTCGCTCTGATTTACGACTAATAACTTCATATATTTCTTAAATTTATTATTTGTTGTAGATTATCGGTGTCGCCGCAGTATAACGTCATCGCTATACCCCACGACAACAGACAAATACGATTATTTGATTTAAATGGCGTCAGGCTGGCGAGATTACCAAGAAGCAGTCGACAGGTGAGTTATTTGTTGTCCGAATCACTTTTATTCAAACCTGATAATTGTTATGGATTTTCGGTTGCTATGTGGCGGAATATGCAGTGTTGATTGTTTTGTTTACATTTGATCATTGTGAAATATTGTAGCAGTCAAAATTTCTGGTGGTTTTCCAGAGTAAATTTGAATTAAATGAACTTTTAGGATTTTGAATTGAATTGAATTGAAAACAAACAAATCCAAAGTGCAGTACACACAGCACAGATGATTGGTATTAAATTGAGACCAGTGTACATGGGCCTTAATGGCACTCCTGCAGGTATGTCTAATCTCAGGTTGAATTTATTAAACAGGGAGTGACAATTACTTGTGGTATTACTTGCTCTCAGTTTACTCAATTTGAAATTCATCTGATACGATGAATTGATTTTTTATGATTTTTTTTCTAACATATGTTTAAAATATGAGTAGAAATTTATAAAAACCATAAAATGTATTTTACAAGCGATCAACACACTTAGCTAAGCAAACAATTGAATGAGGTATTTTATTGATATTACAGAATATAATATCTTTTTAATGGGTAGCATGTGGTATATAATATAATGTGAATTGGTTTTATTGTTTACTTTAGTAATTACTTATGCATGCTGTTAATGTATCTATAAAAGAGAAAGGGTTTTGTTAAGTACCACTCGGCAGAAAAGTAAACAATGGATACAACTGGCTTTTTTTTTGATCAGACACTTGCACCTTTATGTAAACCATAATAACAACACAACGTACCAGCTTTTATTTTGCTTTAATCTTACCTATTTTTATGTTTTAGAAAAATGATGTTATTTAGATAAATATTTTTCAATGAATTCGACCAGTGTTTTAGTGGAGAGCTTGTCCCCTTTGTTGGCCCAGTTTATCACTGGTCTGGTGCATAGCTTTGGTCCATTTTTTAATATAGTTCAGATCCTTTATGGAGACTTATTTTGATGCCCAGTGTATCACTTGTCTTGTGGAGAGCTCTCGTCTATTCTTGCATAGATCTGAGTTACTCCCATTCAGCCTACTGTACTGTAGCACTGGGCCATAATTGGCTTCCATTCCAGGAAATATATTTTCCTGGATAAAAATATTCTCTCATTCATTTCATTTATGCACAATGTTTTCACATCTCTTTGCTCTTCTAGGGCCATCGTCGCATGGTGTGTTGTACCACCTGGCTAGATGAAGGAAGTAACTGTAATTTATTCAGCTGTGGATTTGATCGACAAGTTCTGGGATGGAGGATTAACGGATTGACGACTGGTACCATTGACAAATCTTAAAGACAGTGACAATCCACATTCCACGGACTGTTATCTGAAACATCCTGATCTTTCTGTAGATCGGTCGGTACCTCAGGAAATTAGGGTTTACTTGGCAATATGAGGATAAGAGAGACAAATTCTTGATCTGATCGTTTCACGATACATTGAAAGCTGAGAGGGTGAGGGGTGGGGGTGCTAAATCATTCCCTCTGGACGCAATGTGTGTATAATTTTGTGGAAGGAATGTAAATGTAAAAATGGGAAAAAATCTGACTTACTTGACTTGATGTTTAGTCAATCTCTCGTTTTGAGGCTTTACTGTGCTGTTTGTTCCACAGTGGAAGTCAAATTTCAGAGAGTGCAGCCATTGAAAACTATAAACTTATCATTTTTTAGTATGTATCTCTAAAGAAGCTACATCCTGTCTGTTTATTATGTTTTTATTTCTAGAAACATGATCGTATCTTCATGCATCATGATTGTTGTTGGTTGCTTGGCTACCATGATAGTATCTTCATGCATCATGATTATTGTTGGTTGCTTGGCTACCATGGAGCGTGTGACAAGATATTCATGTTTTGTACATATTTATGTATTTTTTCTATAATTAGTTTTGGTCCACTGAAAACAATTTTTACTTATTCTTCCACAAAAAAAATTATGAGTACTTTATTCTAAATTAACAAAGAAATTATTGAAATGTGTATACAAAAACAAAATTTCTCTCATCGAACCACCCAAGCATATTATAAGCTCTGGAAGGGTAACAGTAGAATAACTGAAAATTGTCTTCTACTTCACTTATTGTTGAGCTAAATTCTATTTTATATTTAACCCCACGAGTTGCTGCTGGTCATCCCTTAGTGAAAAATCAAAATTAAATTATTAATGAATAACATTTCTGTTTAGATAAGTTCGTAATGGCATAGAAAGAGTGTCTCTGTGGTTATGCAAAAATATGTTTTATTTTCTGAGTTGCTCCCCAAGTAGAATTTTTTGTAGGGACAAATATTTTGAATAGAAAATTGTGAAATTCTATTCTTGTGTAAATATGACTTTAATTTACTAGAAAATATTATCAAAGTTTAGTTGAACTGTTAAAATATTATTAACTACAGCCATATGTGTGACTCTTTATAATTTCTTGTTGATAAATTAGTGGAGGAAATAACTAACAATTAACATATTAAAATTATGCATAGGACTATTTCTCAATCCTTGGGATTGCACCAAGGAATTGTGGGTCTTCCTTGGACGTGGTACAGTGTGGACAATGATAGATATCTTAAAATTGTGAATTATAATTAAATATAAATTATTTTTGGCAACTTATTGCGATTCACATAAAAGTAGATTGCCTAAACAAAGCCCTTGAGAAGATATTTTACTAGTTATAAGTTTTAGTATTCTCAATCCTTGGAATTGCACCAAGGAATTGTGGGTCTTCCTTGGACGTGGTACAGTGTGGACAATGATAGACATCTTAAAATTGTGAATTATAATTAAATATAAATTATTTTTGGCAACTTATTGCGATTCACATAAAAGTAGATTGCCTAAACAAAGCCCTTGAGAAGATATTTTACTAGTTATAAGTTTTAGTATTATTTAAGTTTTAATATTAAGTGGCAGATTTATTTATTATTTCAGAGGCTGAATATTATTAATAATGGAGCTTGAAAATTTATGTATAGTTTTATTAATTAACATGAAAATGTAATAACCATAACATTTTTACGATTTCTTTATGGATGATTTTGTAATCCTGATTGTATCTGGATAGCGTCGTCATGACGACAATGTGTGTGTTCAATATTCATTCCATTGCAGTAAATGACAACTGTGGTTTGCGGTCGTATCTAGTACGCTATCATTACTGTTAGCCTTCAACTATGGTAGTGAAATTTGATTGTAATTGTAATAATTTGGTTGCTATGGCAAACTCATCTGGTCACATTACATAAAGTTTACTTATGATTTTATTTTATGAATTTAATAATGTTTCATAGTCAAACGTGTACTTTCAGCTGAAGTTATTTTTATTTCGTTTTTATTTTTACATGTTTACAGGGTATCAGCTGGGAGTATCATTAGGGCCACATTAATAAACATTTATGTTATGTGTTTGATTAAAAATTTTGTTAACCATTTTTTCTTTTATAGAAGATTTGAGAATGCAAATAGTTTTATTATTGATAGATTTACATGAAATCAGTGTTTTAATTTATTAAATGTTGCTTAATGTGAATAAACTAGGGGTGCTTCACTGATACTATTATTAAATAAGTTGTCACATTTTCTTTGTGTTCAGATAAAAGTTTGCGAAATATTCCTCTGAATATTTTCTTTCATAGTTACTTCTAATACAGCTGCTGTATTTGACCTCACAATGCTGTGCATTCTGGGATATCTATGCAATTTCATCTCCATTTCATTGCATTTCATTGGCTATCTGGATTTTAACAAAGTGCATTTTTTAGTTTCTTTCTTTTGGTGTGTAGGTCTTTTGTGACAGGTCACAAGACATCCATTTACTGTTTTTTTTCCATCCTCACTCTTTTTATCTGTTCATACTTGGACAAGGGTCTGTGTGTTAGAAGCTTTGTCGCAGCCACTGCAACACAAACACAAAAGAACAGCGTACATTCATGCTATTCAGTTATTTTGCAACCAGTCAACTTGTTTTGAGGTGTTTTTTAACACGCAAGTTCTATGATATAAATGATCAAACAAGAGACTAGTATATACTACCGGTAGTCAAGAGTTATTAGTACCAGAGGTACATTACTTGGGGTTTGCAACTCGCATAGTACTGTATGGTGACATGTCAAGATCCCATTCAAGTCTCTTCTCGTAGATAGCGAGACTGAGGCTACGATCTTCTGACATGACATATATCAATGTTCAAGGTTTGTAATGAAAAAATAAAACTTTTCTTGCCACTATCATAGTGAAAAATGTAATACATTGAAAATGTACAGAAAATATAGTTCTCGTAATCCGTCGTATCATGGGCAGCTATTTTGATCCACCTGGACATCCCAGTATCCTAGTTACCTCGGGCATGCGCATTTGCATTTTTCTGAGTTGGAACGCTTATGCGAGAGCGAGATTGTGACGGGATCTTGGTATCATGTCACCGTAGTTACAAATCCCAAGTAATGTACCTCTGTTAGTACTGATCATTCATTGTTATTTTGGTATAAATTAATGATGTAACTTGGATGTATTTGTAATGTCAGGTAAATATGCAAATAAAATTGCATGCCCAGATACTGACAATATTTGTCTCATTTGAATGAATCTCCTCCAATGGCCACTCTGCTCGCACATGTAAAGGGTTACTAGTAAAGGGCGGTAGTCATCGCGCCACGCATGTGCGAAATTTGTGTTGATAAACATTGATTTTAGAAAAAATATTCATGCAAGGTGTTGCAGGGAGAATATGTTGGGGCATTCAAGAACAAATGTTCTGCCGACACTGATTTCATTTCCCCCGGTTTCTAATGCTCGACACCTTGCTGCATGAACATGACTTTTACAATTTGGTTTTGACCAATCAAAATGCTGATGTGAATATGCATAGCTTAATGTCCGGTTTCTGTAATTTGATTACACAATATAACCCTGAAAATTCTAGAATGGCCAATTCAAGATGGCCATGGTACAAACAATATGACAGCGTTCACAATCGCTGTGCTTCATTTTTAAATTTCATGTGAAACGCATTTGTGTACTTTGCATGGAGCCTTTATGTCACACTTTAATCAGGAATTTTCATAACTCGTACCGAACAATCGAGAGACAAAAATCTGTGGCAGTGAAACTTAACTTGAGTCCTGAAGACTGAGGTCATACTAGCCTGATTACTCGCCTACTGTTTCATACAACTTCTCCATAACTGGAATTGGTACCTAAATTTTTCGTTCAATGTCAGTTGATTATCCATGATGTTGATTGGCTGATAAATATAGCTGCTAATTTGAATATGCTAATTTTCCTAGCACTGGATGACAGTTGTACATTTCCCCTACATAGTGTATCAAACCGATAGTTCACAGAGACGTTGGAATAAATATGAATTGTCAAGAAAAGTCTAAGCAACAATTCTAGACTGTTGGGGAAAGGACCCACACAACCATATGTAGGTAAACAGGCTATGGTCACAACGACTTGTAAATGCTATGACAAAACTACGAAACATTTCTATTGCCGAAAATTTAACAGTTTACTGTAATTAATGCAACAAGACAAAGTCTTGAGATAGTGATATGTTTTTAGCATCAAAGTCAACTTGTGTTATTATTCACAAAAGAAAATCTACAGAATTTTTTAAGATTTTCTCAACAATTTGGTTCAAAATGCATATAAATAGGCACATTTTTCCACCAATATTATGGCACTTCAAAGGTAATGAAATCAAATTGAATAATTTGCAGAAAAAAATATATCCTGTAGAGTGGGTGTAAATACAGCTTTGCAATGGACAGTATACTTATCTCGCCCTCTATAGTTCAGTTATGTCACACACTTATCTTTTGTTTTATGTGTATCAAAGTCTTGATAAGTTCAACCCCATATTACTGACAGGTGACACTTTTTATTCTTTGTTAAAACCATCATATTTGGTATTAATCAATATATAATCTCCTGGAATATTTTTTTGTATTTGCAGTGTACAAGATTTAATCACTACTGAGAAAATGCCAAACTTGTCATTTGTTCTCGATGTTTATTTTGGTTAATATAAAGTTACTCACAGGAATAGTGAATACTAAAGTGGTAACTATAACAATGTGTTATTGATATTCGTATCATTGTTTGCAAACAGGCATTAGTTTTCTACATGACGCCCTCTATGGCAGGCTTGGTTCAACATAATGTCTGGCCATAGAGGGCTCCACAAATATCTTCCCAAGGAAAGTGCTGAAGAGTTATTGAAACTAATGTTAGTAGCACAAGGGAAAAACTAGATACAAATATCCACTCTGGTAATGATCTGATTTCCAGGTGCCAAGAGTGTATATATATATAAATATACAAAGTAATTATGCATGCAATCAGATAGAGTGTACGGCCATTACACTAAATTGAGGTACCGTGCAGTACAACAATTAGATAGTGATGCTATTTGTATTTTTTATTGAATGAGCCAAAATTAAGTAGTGACTAGACATAACATACAACTTGGCATATACATTTTATAAGCATTCTACACATTCACATCTTGGCATATACATGTTACAGGGCATTCTACACATTCACATCTTGGCATATACATGTTACAGGGCATTCTACATATTCATATCTTGGGATATACATGTTACAGGGCATTCTACACATTCACATCTTGGCATATGCATATTACAGAGCATTCTACACATTCACATCTTGGCATATACATGTTACAGGGCATTCTACACATTCACATCTTGGCATATGCATGTTACAGAGCATTCTACACATTCACATCTTGGCATATGCATGTTACAGAGCATTCTACACATTCACATCTTGGCATATACATGTTACAGGGCATTCTACACATTCACATCTTGGGATATACATGTTACAGGGCATTCTACATATTCATATCTTGGGATATACATGTTACAGGGCATTCTACACATTCACATCTTGGCATATACATGTTACAGGGCATTCTACATATTCATATCTTGGCATATGCATGTAGAGAGCATTCTACACATTCACATCTTGGCATATACATGTTACAGGGCATTCTACATATTCATATCTTGGCATATGCATGTTACAGGGCATTCTACATATTCATATCTTGGCATATGCATGTTACAGGGCATTCTACATATTCATATCTTGGCATATGCATGTTACAGGGCATTCTACATATTCATATCTTGGCATATGCATGTTACAGGGCATTCGACATATTCATATCTTGGGATATACATATTACAGGGCATTCTACACATTCACATCTTGGCATATGCATGTTACAGGGCATTCTACATATTCATATCTTGGGATATACATGTTACAGGGCATTCTACACATTCACATCTTGGCATATGCATGTTACAGAGCATTCTACACATTCACATCTTGGCATATACATGTTACAGGGCATTCTACACATTCACATCTTGGGATATACATGTTACAGGGCATTCTACATATTCATATCTTGGGATATACATGTTACAGGGCATTCTACACATTCACATCTTGGGATATACATGTTACAGGGCATTCTACACATTCACATCTTGGCATATGCATGTTACAGAGCATTCTACACATTCACATCTTGGCATATACATGTTACAGGGCATTCTACATATTCATATCTTGGCATATGCATGTAGAGAGCATTCTACACATTCACATCTTGGCATATACATGTTACAGGGCATTCTACACATTCACATCTTGGGATATACACGTTACAGGGCATTCTACATATTCATATCTTGGCATATGCATGTTACAGAGTATTCTACACATTCACATCTTGGCATATACATGTTACAGGGCATTCTACATATTCATATCTTGGTATATACATGTTACAGGGCATTCTACATATTCATATCTTGGCATATACATGTTACAAGGCATTCTACAAGGCTTGGTTGGCAAATACGAACATAAGGCAACAAGATTCAAACTAATGAAAGAGACAAGACATTATGAAATCGTCACCACATTTAATATGCAAAGATAAGCATGACTAGATCATCGCTATAGCAACTAATTCCATAACATTACAGTAATTATGAAATAGTAACATCAGTTCATTTCTTACAAATTTCTCTCTGCACTGAGCCAAATTATACAGAATTAAACAGTGAATAATGTTTTTTATATAGAAAAAGACACTAAGAAATATACATTTTAAACTTTCACTAATAAGCAATCACTTTGTTTTGTAAAAAAAATACATTTGACAAAAACTAAAATAACGAAAATTGCTGGAGACTACAGCTATAATTTGAAAATAGAGGACTGATTGTTCATTGTCAGAACTGTGCAGTTAATATAGCCTTGTAAAATGTGGATTCATGTATGTTGTTTGAACACAATAAGACACTACCATTTGCTTTTTGAATATTAAAACCTGATGCCATAGTTTAATGCATGTGTTAGGGGGCTCTGATTTGAATCCCCTAGCTAACTGACTAACAGCTAACTGCATAAATGCCATGGTTCAAGACAAAACTATGAACCATGACATTGTTTACCACACATGTTTTAAGCAAGTGTTGTCACATGACCAGCTAGGAAACGAAAATGTTGGATCGCAACTGTGCAAATGGAGCCATCTTGAATTTATCCACCAAGTTAGGGAGTCAATTTGACATTAAGACACCCCAAATGCATTAATTTATGGTAACTGAAAACCCATAAGCTGTCTTTTATAAATTATAAATAAAATGATTGGAGAAAACAAAATACAAACAAAGATTGAACAAATTAGTTTCTATTCATTAATTATTGGCATAAGATTAAAATTCCAACAAAATACCCAACTTCTTTTGGTTTTGAAATGCCCCCATAGAATTATATAAAATATCTTTGGATTTGAACAGATCAGAAAAATACATGACACAATATAACATCTAGTACAAGCAAAAATCTAAATTCTTAAAGTAAAAACAAGAAAAAAACATTGTGCTCTTTTAGAGAATGGAAGATGTCTTACTAAAACATGGGCACCAACAAATTTGTTATTAAAAAAAACTTGTAAAGCCAATTTTTGTTTCCATTAATTAATTCAAATTCTTATGTATCAGTAGTCTTAATGAAGACTGGCTAATTAGCATATTGGGTCACTATAATTACCTTCTATGGACTGGTTCATTAGCATACTCAGTAACTATAATTTCCCTATATAGTCTGGCTCATTAGCATACTCAGTCACTATAATTTCCTTATATGGCCTGCCTCATTAGCATGCAACACTCCATTACAATCACCACCCAATGTGGGTGTACCAGTCCAATATTTTGTTTTACTCGTATAAGAATATGCTTATTTGCAACCGTCTGCAGTCAGCCAAGTAACCCCATGTGGCATATTAAAAAACTTTCAACTGTCTGAACCAATCAAATAATATGCAATAATATATTATATATGGCAATATGTCTGATATCATAGACAACACAGATGCCTGTAACCCTCAGTTTATATGATTGGTCTGATATCACAATCCCACAGCATACTTTGTACCATTTTGTGAGTCATGAATTGAATATTTGTCAATCTCCTGTTGTGCGAAATCTCGATTTTGTTTTTTTAAGCCATAAATTAAATTTTTCGTTTACAGGATAATTGAACCGAAAAAATGAAGAGAAAATTGTGCTGCAGTGGAATTGTGGGTAATGGGGAGAATTCTGGGTAGGCATCTTGGGTATGGCAGATCAATAAAGAAAATTCTGAAATTAGGTTAAGAAAAAGTGGTAAAAAACAAAATTATAGCTCTACCACATTCATTATATGCCAAAAAGTAAGATAATATCGGTTTACAACATGAATTTGTTGAGGTAATGAATGACTTATTGACCTCATTTGTCAAACGCACGTGCACGTGAATGGCGGTAATTACCTTTAGATATCCCACTGGGAGCATAGCCGACATGTACTGATGGGTTCCTGTCAATATAGATAACTTGGTTATTACAGATTATCGTACAAACCAATGCCCCCAAGCAAACATATCCAACTACCATCCTCACGTCACATGAATGCTGTTGTTATGACAACAATGAACATGCTCATTTTCTCCCAACATAATTATCACTGCCAGATTGAGCTCAACAGCTGTATTTCCCGCAAAAAATCTTAACGCAAAGGGTTTTTTCTAGATCGAAATGAGACAATTTATAATTTTTTACATATGATCAAAATATCTAGTAAACAAAATCAATATTCATTTCAGCCACAGAGGGCTATACTCCAAGTTATCACCAACAGCAAAACAAAAAGTGAAACAGCCAGTCATTGAAAATCTATAAGATTTGTCATCCCATCAGTGACTATGCAAATTGTCATAAAATCTCTAATCTGATTGGTCTTCAATTATCACATGATCAGGATAATACACAAGACTTCCAAATCAAAAATGAGATAAAATATTTGTATATTCTGAAAAAATATCAAAACTGACAAAAAAAATGAAAGAAAACCTTAAGTTTTGAATTAAAATTTGAGTCAAACTAAAACTCCATTATGGCTAAATTAAATTAAATATTAAAAAAAAAAACTTTGTCTTATTATGCTAACTTCTGAGGCTTTCACCTAACTCGTTTTTTTTGATATGTTGTCATAGCAACTGACTTCTGGCAAGTAAATATTTTTCACCCATTGACAAACCTGTAATCACATAGAAGGTAATAATCCAAATAAATGCTATAACAAACGTAAAGTTCAACTTTTTTCATGCCCGTCATACGCAAAATTTACAATTTATTTCCAAATGTCAGACATTTCTCTGTGAAGAAAAAAATCAGTATCATATAAGCCGCCTCAGATCCCTTTCTAAGCTAACCTTTGACCTCTACAAGGTCAATGACCTCAATATAGTATTAATTTTCAGCTAGCAATGACAGTTCACAAATCAAGTTCTGACAATAGTCAATTAAAGTTGCCCACATTTTGCATTTTCATAATACGGTGATGTCAACTAAAATCGCTACAATATTCTCATTTCGCTCTCTTCGCCTGTAATTGAATTGTTCCCATCCAACCCTATCTCGTGATGCAAATACATCGTAACACTGCCCCATTATATTGGGAGAGATTTATCTAGTGCAAAGGAAGCCAATCCCGTTGCAGACTAAAGTCCATATTTAAAAAAAAATTAACGATAAGAAAAATGGCACCATATACTAACAGTTTGTAAGCTGCGGAGACAGCAAGTCTGATTTCATTTCATGTTGATAACGCCACTGCACTTGCAGCAAAAGACAAAATAGTTGTGCAAAACAGCTTTTGAAAAATGAATCATGCATTGATAATTTTGATACAAAAACAATGCTGATTTTTAATGAGAAGCCAAAATTGCAACTGCATAATTTCAAAACAGACGACCATTACACAAATTGGTCTTGCTCGATTGGCTTTTTTACCCATGTGCCTAATCCTGCTTTTTGAAATGTCTTCACCATTTGTATCTTGGCTTCTTGGTAATCCACAGCCATAGCTTTAGCCTCGCTATAACATTGCGGCTTCCGGGTTTCTTGCGTCAGGGTGGATATTTTTCCATACAGCTGCTTAAAATGCTGGTACAAGGCATGTTTAGATATTCTGGAAGCACGACCATGGTCGTCTTTTCCTGTCATCGCATTGATTATCTCCATTCCATCATCCGTCACCATCCAGTTAATACTGAAGTTGGGGGCTTTTCCGGGTTGTCGACTTTCTGTGTTGCTGATCCCACAAAGCAGAGGTTTATTGAGTCTAAATAACCTCGGGAGGTCTTCGATTTCAGCTGAACGACAGTAAACCGCTCTTGATAGATGATCAGAATGGTACAACGATCCAAGGATGATTCCAGACAGGTAAACAGGCTCAATAAAATTACTGAGAAGAGCACCTTGTATTCCAAGTACGTTCCACCGAGCAATTTTATCACTGCATGACATGGTCAGCAAGCGTTCTCCCTGAAGGACCCCATCCCACGTCTGAATCGAAGAGTCTGGTTTCACAGGAATTGTTCCTTCACCGGATTCTATCTTAGTACGTAATTGTCCACGTGCTTTGCGATTCGGGTGCCGATCAGTAGAGTCACCTTCACTAGTTGTCTCATGAGGAGAGAAAATCCTGGCATCACCACATGGTGAGGTACTGATGTAAAGATGAAACAGGACATCTTCACGTAGCTTGTATCCATGTCCGTCATCACATGGTTGAAATATCGACTTGTCACCTTCGTTTGTTAAATGCAACTCAAGCTGAGTATACAAATAATGCACTAACGATCGTCGTGTGACTATTTCAGCATGACAGTCATTTAACGCCAGACCCTGATCTGACATGTACTCTCCATTGATGCATTTTGTACCGGTCGATACACATATTACTTTCGCATCATTCATCTCGGGACCATGTGTCATGACAACACCCGCAAGAACTTTCCTCCTTGCATATGGAGATGTAAAATTATCCGTTAACTCTCCAAATTTAGTCAGTACTAGCTTATGCACAAGATCAGCGAGCACTTGCGGTGTCTGTAGTTGCGTGTTATCACTTGGAATTGGCTGAAGACCAGGAGCAGTGGCTGGCATCAAATTATAAATCTTGGAAAGAGCTGCCTGAGCAGCACGTGCTTTGGCCATTTTCTTATTTCTGGCAGAGCCAGTGAAATTTTGTCCGTCAATGACAACTGACATTACAAAATTCTTTGCGTGACTCTCGCCGGTCTCCGACACAAATTCGTACTTAAGTCCTGGTCTGAGTTCATTTAATAGCATTATTGGGTTCTTTCCTTGCGGGGGTGATGATAGTGGTGTCCGTAGTGTGGGACCGGTACTTAGAGCAGCGGGCGGTATTTCTTGATGAGTACCGTTATGAGTTTGAACTTTTTCTTCCATTGGCTGTTCGGTTATGCTCATTTCAATTTCTTTTCCGGCAGCCATTTGCGATGATTCAAATGTATTAAATAGACACACATCGCTGAGGTCCATCGCGTCTGAGGTAAAATCAGACGTAATGATATGGCGTCCCATTGCACGATGGGCTTCTGACGCATTGGGAAACTGGACGAATGACCGCAATGCCTTCTCGGCAGCCTGCAATTTGGCTTTCTTTTTAGTTGTTCCGATACCTTCAAACATCTGACCATTAACCTCCACCGACATTACAAACGTTGGCGCGTGAACCGGACCACTCTGCGAAACAAACTTAAACTGTAAACCTGGTCGAATCTCATTCAGCTGCATCAATGCATTTTTCGGTAACACTGGTCCCGGAACCTTTTTCCTCTTGCGTGGCCGCTGTCGGGGAGTCTCGTTCAGATTACGATTATTCTGTTCATCTTCAAGTGGACGTTTCAGGTTACGCTGCTCTGATTCTTTTGTGGGCTGATCATCGTTGTCCATGGCGATATTTTCTTCTTGGTCTCCACTGATGTTCTCCTTTACTTCACCAGCAGCCTCACTTCCATTCTGATCTACGAATAAAAAGAAAATAAGCGGTAAGAATAGCGTAGATATAGATACAAATAACAAATTTGCATAAACATGATTTGGAAAATACACAAAGAAGTTATGCAGTTGGGGTTGAAAACATTTTTGTTGTCTGTACATGTTGTTTGCATCCGATTCGTTTCTAGAGCTAAACAATGATCTTTTGTTGGATTATTTCTATCTTTAGTAAAATCTCATAATCATGACGAATACTTTGTGGGTGTGTGTGTGTGGGAGTGAGAGATTGTACAGATGGAAATGATTTTGGAAGAGGAGGCTATAGATTCATGTTTTAAGAATTTAACACACAACTATGCGCAGATTCAGATGAGGTCTGGCGGTGATGCAAACTGAGGCACTTAATTTACATACACATTTCATAAGCAGATTTTATTGTTGTTTTCACTTATTTCAATCCAGGGAATGTTTGTCATACTGGTAGTAAATTTTTGGACAACATTTTTCCGAGGCTTGATCTTGATTTATTTTGTAAATGGTGCAAATGTTGTCTTTGGTGTTTGAACCATACCATACTACTCTACAGCCACAATATTTGGACAGTTATTTAAGCAAATTCATAACAAAAGTTATTAGTTCAAAAACTGAACATGAGAGGAAACCTGGTTAATCAAAACGACAATAGCTAGATATCGATGGTAAAACAAGCCCATCTCTTTAAGCATTCCGAAATTGGTTGATAAAAAATTAACTTTATTAACTTGCCAGGATCTGGTACAACTACATCGTGCTGTGAATGAGCTACACGAATCAAAAAAATATGCAAACTTCACAAAGTGAACAACAAATAACCAGGCAGTAGTAATCATTTATATTAGTTGGACGTGAAGCATGTATTTGTAATTAAAATGCCATCACATAACTGAATTAGACTGCCATAAAGTGACCTTGTCAAAACCAGTTGCTTTAACAAAGCAAGTCTGGGACTAGATCTAAAGTACAGGAATTAAGATTATGCTTTCATCTAAGGAGAGCCAACGCTTAGAGGCAACGCCAAAAATATGACTTTTAACTGTGCCTGTGAATTGGCAAAACAACTAAGCAGTTTTTAAATGAAGTCTTTAAAGAAAAAAATACTCATTTGCATTTTTATATTTTACATTTCTCAAGGAAAAAATGAAGTTCTAAATTTTTCGAATCAGTACCCCCTCCTCTCACTGTGAAAATGACGAAGCAAATTGATTTTAATTAATTTTCACTGATCTTTGATGAGTTGATTTTAAAATTTAGCAAAAAAAGCATTTCCACAGGATTTTATTTTCACTGATTCATCCCTTTCGTCCCTTCAGCGAAAATAAATTCCAAGTGACAATAGAGTACTTTATGTAATTACATAATAACATGATGGATTTCTCCATGTTTGAACTACGAAGCATATGACCTAATTTGCTTAACAAAGGGATGATTGATTACATCATCAGATGACAAAGACTTCCATTGCATGAAATGAATCAAATTAACGTCCTGGGGACTAATTAAAAGGTGAAGATGAGATAAAAAAAAAAAAACCACATTACAATCAATTGTATTGCTGCTCAGTTATAATAGGAGACCATCTAATTTGTTAGTGGAAACTGCCTGATAGGGAATGACTGAGAACCCTTTCTGTTGGTGCCAGCCCTCCTCGTCCTCCTGGTGTTGCCGGCCAGCCTTTATCCGGCAACTAATGCCAGAGCAATTTAACACAGTACGAAGTTACGAGAACAAAATTTAACAATTTTAGAAACAGACTGTCTGAGCTGAAAAATGTCTGATTTTATGTTCACTGGTGAAAGTGACATTGTTCTCAAGTAGAACTGGCTTTTGTTGTTGTTATATTGTTGGCAATGTTTGACTTGGAGGCCACATTATGTATTAGTTTTATCAGTTGTTCATGTACTTACATAAATGACCAAAGTATTATTCTATGGTTCAAAAAATTCATATTTCAAATCCAGTATACTTAAAATACACACAATTTTGCGTTTAAATGCACTTTTAATCAAGAGGATTCTGTACAAGAATATCAATCACTGTAGTCAATCACTCTTAATTCCAACCATGAAATGCATTTTCACTGAATTATTGAAAATAGTGTACCGTATACTGTTATCAAAAATGTGTATGTGAGCATTCACAAAAATGGTTAAAATTGACCAAATAACACTGTAACTCCCTGCTTTAAAATAAGACAATTGATAATTTCATGGTCACAAATTTTTATCCCTCCAACTCGCATCAAAAAGTTGACTTTAAATAAAAATTAAAGTGATCAAATTAATTTTCTTTCTATACTGGCATATCTTTTCAATTGTATTTCTATTTGCATATAATACAGATTCAGCAAAAAAAAAATCGCACAGATCTTTGTCAAATTGAAATGCAAACTTTGTGAATTTTTTGTGAGTGAATATGTTGTTCTACTCAAGCCGTTCATCAAAACTATTCCTTTCAGCAATTCCATATCTGAGGGAGGGAAACAAAATCTAATTTCCTGCAATCAGCGTTCCGCTCAACAGTATTGTCTGAAAGAAAGTAATGCAGCGATGCTATGTAGGTGTAAATTAGATCTGTTTTATTCATCACCATGGTGATAATCTTAGCTGTTTTATACCCCTAAAAATTAAACAGTGAATGAATTCGTCAAACCAACTGTGCTTCACCAAACATGGCACTAATTATCATTCAGAAACAAAATAATATGAATTATTTTAATGAATAGAGCAATTTTGTAAAACAAATTGCAGCTGTGATTTTAAACGGGGCTCTGCACGACTGAGTACAGACCTACTATATATCAACCATATACTACTAACTGTTTAAAATTTAAACAAAAATAGAAGAAGAAATTTGATGTTTTCAGTCTATTTGAATTGACTAAACCACAACTTTAAAAGGAGGAGTACCATGAATGGGATGTCATTTTCAGATGTGTGAATAGGAAGATTTGGACACAAAGGCCAACTATGTAGTAACCACTTGGCAGCAATGGACATTACCTTGGTAGATAACAATACATAGTTAAGTTGACAGTGGAAAAGAATTGGGATATTGGTTTACTGAAGATATAAATGCAGATAATCCAAATAAGTGTGGGTAACAGACAGACAGACAGACAGACAGACAGACAGACAGACAGACAGACAGACAGACAGACAGACAGACAGACAGACAATGCATATCTATGCAGCTCAGCAGACTTGATTAATCGTGTGATTTTGGCAGCCAAACAAACATTATTAACTGATTTTGTTTACCATGCATGATTAAATGACTAAAAGGCAAACTTCTAATGTTTACTCGATGGGCATATATTCACACACTCGCTTTAAATATCTCTGTTATAGTTCAAAGCTGATTTCTCAGATGATGTCAACATACAAAATACCATAAAATGAGCAGAGATATTTGTGTTGTTTAGATTTTCATGAATATAACAATAATTTTTTTTATATTGATACCAGGTTAGCCATTTACATCATCAGCTTCTGTGATGCATGTCAATGATAAACAACCCTTTATTTTTCTCTTTAGGGAAGCTGTATGGTTTTGACATATGCACTGTATTTTACGAAGCATATTTCACCAGTGTATGACATATGATTCTGTCACAGCGAGGTAACGAGAAACAGCAGTAGTTTGAAATAAGCCTGAGAAGCGTGTCATTTTGTTACAATGGTATTAAAAGGTGACGGTACCGAGGGTATCAATGCACGATTGCATGTTTGCACAAACTGAAACTTTTTACACCCCCTCAAGATCACTGCTGGGTACCACAGAGAAAGTCATTTTCCTTTAGGATATACACTATGCGTGTTAGAAATAAGTCAAACGCCGTCACAAATGTAACGAGTAAATATGATGGATGGCAATACAGGAAGAATTAATTCTAACGAGGCACACTGTGCCACGACCACATACCTGCCATTAATACAAGAAACTTTCACAGATTAGACTAGAATGAGGATCCTTCATCAACGACAGACTGACAGAAACAGAATTGGGGTTAGAAACCACACTTTACAGTGCGTCTGTGTGTCTGCTTGCTTGACTTGACACCGACTTTTGTGCTTAGCTGGAAAGGTTGGGGCCCATTGTTACCACGTTTCAATAGAATTACCATGCATGACAAAGGACACAGAGAATAGCTCCACCCGAGTGTGCCTAAACATGCAGGGCAACGACACAAAGGCCTTTGTTGTAAAAATCTTCTATTGATAAAGACCAGTAGATTTGAGTGAAGCCAGAGCCAAACAGAGACGCTAGAGAGGCATTGAATACCAGGACACAGTTAGCTAAACAGTTTGGTACATGAATACCTCTTAACAAAAGCATCAACCGTATTTGCATACACACAGAAAACATTGTGGACCGTTATAGAAAAAAAGAAGAAGAAAAACACACAGCTTACTGATAAACATAGCGACGGCGAAAAAGAGAGGACCTCGCTTCGATTGTATGACCATTTAACAAATTTATACAGACATCATAAACAATAACGGTATAGTCAATGTCAATGGCGTGTTAACAATTAAATAAATTTTTACACACGCACACGTAAAAAAAAATAATCAATAACTACGTCAGTAAGTATGACATGCCCCGGCCTGAACTACGATAATTAGCACTTCAAATAGAGAAAAAAACGTTATTATAGTAATGAACATCTGAGTGACAGCAAGTGGTAGCAAAGTGCTCGGGGGCAACCACACTATTGGCGAAACAGAATATATTGCCATTCAGAGGTTTATCTAGTCAACTAATATATAATCCATTAAGATGAAATAGACAGTAATGTACCACCAGCTTGCATAATAATGAGTTTTTATGTGTCTACAATTTGAAAATAAAATAATGGCTTAACATTTGGAGTGAAAGCAATAGATTTTGTGGTGTGAAAATTGGAAATGTTTGTTAGTCAACCACATCACAGTAATAGGGTGTCAATAGCATATCAGATGCCATTGCATAGATATAATGACCTAAA